GTGAAGCAATGGCCATGACTCATCCACATGGCTGACACTGACAAAGGATCTGCAAACTGCAGTACAGGGTTACAGAATAAATCCTGAGGGTACTTACTTGACTGACCTTATTAGATACAAAAGTTACATTTCTTGTTATGCAGGTCTTGGTTCATCTTGGTCTTAACCATCCAGCAGAAAAGTACAAAAGCGAGGTATATAAAGTAAAGCCATATTAATGTGCTGAGCTGTGAAAGGCTCAAGTCAACAATTTCTGTGGATAACACACTACTGTTGTGGACTTCTGGACTGTGTTGAATTGTTTTGCTGAATTCACACACCTGTGGTATTTAGATGCCAATGGAATACCCATTTCTGACAGGACTAAAGAAGAAAAGGGGATACAAAGGAAGGACCATTTTGTATCTATTTGCAGAATAGTTAGGGTAGGTATACAGCTACTTTCTCTTAATTCAATAAGAAGGAAGATTTGTACTAATAGTGTTTGGACAGGATATTCTGTTAGCATCTTGTACTATGGATAACTGCTAAGAAGATAACAATGTACAATATTTTAATTATTGAAACTGTCCTATTAATTAGTTTTGAAACTGTCTCATTGATATTTGTTTCTCAATAAAATTAAAAAAAAAGATTTATCAATCAGAAAAAAAATTAAAACTGGGGAAAAGAGAACAACATTAATAGAAGCAAACATGATAATGTAACATTAAAATGCAATATATGTACTAAAATTATGAGTTCATAATAGATACTTCAAAAAACTAATCTTGGGGCTGGAGAGATGGCTCAGTGGTCTAAAGCACCTACTTGAAACAAGCTTGGCAAAGCACAGGGACCGCGGTTCAATCCCCCAGCACCACATGCCAGCCAGCCCCGCCCCCTGGTGGGCTGAGCTGGCTACACACACATACAATAAATAAATGTAATAAATAAAAATAAATAATTTAAAAAAAAAAACTAATCTTATCCCCTTTTATAAATTACACTGCTGGATAGTTTGATGTGAGGCAGTTACTCTACAAAAATATTTCATCTAAAAAATGAGGAATAATTAGACTGTTACCATTTACCTTCCTCAACACATCTTGGAAGTCCTAGACAGTGTTCTGTTAGTGCTTGCTAAGTAAAATAACAGCTAGCTAGACATGATGTGCCCTGTTACAGAAGTAGTCAGGTCCTCCAGCCTATAGAAATACAGGGGACAAAGAATAACTAAACCAGTGCCTCCCAAAATTTTTGAAACGAGGTCTGGTTTTGTAGAAGAGTGTTTCTACAGATCAGACAGGGTGGTATTCTAGAGGGTTCAAGTATATTTATTGTGTGTTTTATTTCTATCATTACATTGTAATATATAGTCTAAAGAAATAATTACAGAACTTACCATACTGTAGAATTAATAGAAGCCCTGGGCTTTCTCTGCATCTAGATGGTCCCATCTGGGTTTGATGGGAGACAGTGATTCAGTGTGATTGTGTCTACTATATATTCTCATCATTTTTGCTGCCACTGCTGAAGACCCTGCTTCACAAAGACAGGATGTTAGAAATGAAATGAAACACTTCCAGTGCTTTTCTGGCCATCTCAGGATATTCCACCTTGACTTTAATCTAGAACAAATTGAGATATGAAGTTGTCCCTTTGCATTCTCAAGCAGTTGATCCTCTTCTAGCATGGACAAAGTTAATTTGCCCACCTTATTCAGAAATGGGTCACAAGGGGCCAGGGAGATGGCTCAGTGTAATAAGTGCTTCCCTGGCAAGCGCAAAGGCCTGAGTTCAATCCCCAGTTCCGAAAAAGAAAAAAAAAAAAAAAAGGAATGGGTCACAATTGCAGGTTGCAGGGGCTGTCTTTGTGTTTGGGAAATAAAATTCAAACCTGAGATAGTTGATCAGTTACCAGCTGGGAGAAAGAAGGCCATGGCCAAGTCACTTTCAAAATCTCTGATAATATTTTTGTGTTACTTTAGTTTGTTTTGAATTTTAATTGGGGGAGTGTTGTGGCGTTTCGTTTTATTTTGGGTTTTTTATGTAGTTCAGGCTGGCCTTGAACTCATTACATAGCCCAGGCTGACCACAAACTTGGGGAAATCCTTCTGCCTCAGCCTCTCAAGTGCTGGAATTACAGGTGACTGCTACCACTTGGTCTTTAAAAATCTCAGCATTCACTGGTTGCTCCCATAATTCTAGCTTGGTTTTGAATGCAGCCACTTTATGTGCTAAACACAGTTGTCATTCTTCTGTAACGTGAAGTTTGAGTTTATTGATCAGGTTGAATATGCCACAAGTAAAGACAGTTGTGCAACATGTTCTGTATCACTGCAATGTACTGCTGGTAGTATTTTTGTAAAAGAGATATCTGAAACAGCTGTGATGACTCAGAAACTCTGCCAAGTGACTTAGCCTTACAAAGTCATCTTATTTCTGTGTATAAAGGATGTGTGTGCGCTGTGCCCATCTGTTCACAGAGCTTTGCGAACATACGTGAATTAAAAGCATGTACTGTAGGGGCTGGGGAGATAGCTCAGTAGAATAAGCACTTCCCTGGCAAGCGCAAGGGTCTGAGTTCAATCCCTGGTTCTACCAAAAAAATAAAAATAAAAAAAAGCATGTACTGTAATGTGGTTCATAATTTCAATCATGTCCTGCAAAATGTTAAGTTCAAGTAACATTTTTAGTTGGCAACATTTTTCCAGATCATACTGGCTTCTTTAATCCTAGTATTTAAACCAGAAAGCCATGCAGTCAAGTTGGGCAGCTGCTTTGTCTATGCAAAAACAATACTGACACAAACTGACCAATTCAGTTATATATAATCATTCATAAAGTTGAATAGTTCTGCAGTGGTAGCATTGCATGGAAAACAAATACATCCTTATGCACATTCTCCAGAAAACTGTATTATACAAAGACAAGCATTATTGCCTTGTTGTAATATTGATGGACCTAGCAACATGGATTGTGTACTTTGTTAATTAATTAATCCTCTCCAGCAGTTGTACTTCAATATCATCTGCTGTTTGATCAAGTCATGTAATTTTGCTGGTCAAAAGAGGAACATGTGCCACCTTTTGAACTGTAGCCCTTTTTAAAAGCTCACAATAGATCTCAGTGATAAATAGGATTATCTCTTCACCAACAGTGATGGACTTAGTAATAAAGTTAGCCACTAAGAATGATGCTCACATTGCAGAACACATTTTATGAAGTGGTAGCCTTTAATAATTGCATCTGGTTTTCATGCTTATGGGGTTTTTTTCCTTTTGAAAACTCCAAAGGCTTTATCTTCTAATGAAGGGTGCTTGGTATCCATATAGTGAAACAGTTTTGAAGCGTTCTTGGCTTTTTTGGGTGCTAGCTGCAACATATTACATAAAGCAGGTTTAGAGAATATGACTCATCTGTTACAATGAACCTGTAATTTACATAGGAATCTTGATTTTTTTTTAAAACAATTATAAATTTTATTTTTTTACTGGTTTTTATGTATTTAGTACAGGGTCTCACTACACAGATCGGACTCAGTGATCCTCCTGTTTTCAGCCTCCAAAGTGCTGGGATTACAGGCACGTGCCACCACGCCCAGTCTCAATCGCTGTCTCAGTGCGCCCCAGGGTGTGGGGCTGACAAAGCATGCCTGGGATTGATTCCCAGGTCTTGCACCTGCCTAAGCAGGTGCTTTCGTCTACTGAGCTATCTGGCTGGCCCTCATGTTGGCATTGATACTTGGAATATTTGGCAGTAACTTGGAACATTTTTGGTTGTTGAAACTGGGAAGAACTTGAAACTTACGGCATTTACTGGGTAAAAGCAAAGGATGCTGAACATCCAACAGTACATCATCTAATAGCCTCACAGCAAAGAATTGTCAAGCCCAAAATGTGAGAAGTGCTTAAGTTCTACATATACACAAAGATCTGTTGCACTAGTGAAATAATATTATCTTTTAGTTTTGTTGAAAATAACATGGGGGGCCAGGGAGAATAAGTGCTTCCCTGGCAAGCACAAGGGCCTGAGTTCAATCCCTGGTTCCACAAAAAAAAAAAAAAAAAAAAAAAAAATAAATAAATAAATAAAATTTTAAAAATGACAATAAAAAATGATATTGCATACAGAATACAACAAATCATTCAGAAGATTATATACCAAGATCAAATAAGATTCATCCCAGGAGTATAAAAATTAATGTGATGAACCATATTTACAGAACCCACGGGGGTCAGGAAGATACATCAGTGGTCTAAATGCCTGCCTGGAAAGCACAGGGACCAGGGTTCAATCTCGAGCACCACGTGCCGCATCAGCCTTGCCCTAGGCATGCCAAGCTGGCCATCAGGATGGTGCCTACCTGTATTCCCAGCACTGGAGAGGCTGAAACAGGATGATCACTATGAATCCAGCCTGCATAGTGAACCCCTGTACCAAATACAATTTTTTTAAAAAAAACAGAACTGAGGACAAAAATAAAATGATTATCTCATCATCAATGCAGAAAAAAAGCATTTGACAAAATTCAACACTCATTCATGATTTTTTTTAAA